TTTTGTGGACAATGATATGTAGGTAGAGTTCAATATCACAATATGGATTGGAATGTTAATAAGAGATTTTATTACTCCCTCCATTTCATTTATTTGTTTTACTTTCCTTTTTATTCCGTCTCCTTTTTGATAACTCTTTATTATCAATTTTCCACGTGATATGTTTAAGATCAACAAGATTAAAAGATAGTTCATATATTCTGCCTATCTTTAATTTAAGACCATACGATTCAAAACTCTTTTTTACTCTTTAAAACTGCGTCAAATTAAAATCAAACAAAAAAAATGAAAAAGAGGGAGTAATATTTTTAGACAATTATTTTACTCTTCCTTGTTAATCTCTGATAAAAGAAATAGATGCAACAACTTCTCTTAACCATTGACTATCCTTACTGCTCCCTCGCCGATAAATGGCTTGCCTCTTCTCCAACAAATCACTACTGGTACTTATACTAAATTTCAAACTTCCGTTTCCAAAATTTATCTTTAATGTTGAAAATTCTCAATTTTGACAGTCATCTGCATTCACTCTTAAAGAAATAATTGGGTATTGAGTTATAAAGAAAATTCTTAACTTAAGATATCCTGTATAACAATAGATATATTTCACTATTTATGTATCTATCCTATAATTCTTTTCTTTTGTAGTCAAAACTTATGCAATAACCGCCACCATTCTTTTTGTCGTTTTACTCCTTAAATCCCTAAGGGAACTGGATGGTTTACTTACACAAAGCCAAAGAATAGAGACTTTGTACAATTGCGGAATCTGCTTGACTCTTTTAATGTCGTTGATACTTCGCTTATAACTAAACAGAACCAACAGAAGGTGCAACAATCGAGGGTTAAAAGAACAGATAGGAAATGTCATTTATTTATTAAATTCTTGCTCTTAACATTCTTCCCCTAGACCATTTTCTTAGGTTTCCCTAAACTATTAGTCTATGTGTAAGGCTAAACAAGTTCGTTACATTTTATTTATGTGCATTTATCAAACACTTCATGCAATTTTGACTTAAAATAACATAATATTGAATTGTTATTTGGATGCTCAGTTTTCAAACATATGGTTCTGCAGATACAGTTTATGGAACTTATTTTTGGATTTATTTTTAAAATTTAGTACTACCATCATATTTTACAAGTCTCAATTGGATGCGTTATTATAGTTTTCCTTTTCTTTTTTGAGAAAAAAATTGACTTATTGATCTCTAGCTTTCTTTTTACCACTTCGTTTTGTATGAAGGCAGCTACACAAGATTAGAAATGATTATATTTGAGAAAGTACAAGTGACCTAAAAATACATTGATTATGTGTTGTTATGCTGATCAAAATATTTTAAACAAAATGAGATAAGATTGAAAATTACATTAAGATTGGTTCAAGATATGTACAATTGTTTACATAGTCTCTGCCTATATTTAAACTTTGGTAGACTTCTTATATAGAAAATATCTCATAGAAATTCTATAGAGTCCAAGACTAGGCAGATATTGTCAGATCACTCAATTAGACAGAGCTACATTAGACTTGACAAACGCCTAAGTATCTAATATATTTGTTTCGTAACATATTTATTGCATTGTGCCAGATCTTATTGTGACAATGAGGAATAATTTCTTAAGAATTGTGTATCGTTTTTGTTTTTGATGTGATAACATAAATGTATGGTCCTAAGGAATACAACTATTATGCTTCAAAACAACTAATGTGTAATATTATAGTGTCATGATAGAAGGCTAATGAGCTGGAGGTATCGTTAAAGAGTATTTTGAAAGTATGGCATGTATATCGTGAGAATATAACTATCCGTAGAGGTTTTGTGGCCTCACAACTGAGATCTAGCAATGCATTTTACGCATAGATCATTGGTGTTGGAGGTATGTTAGGTTGTGTAGAACAAAATTTGCTCCCTTTTTTTTTCATTGCAGGAAATTGAGACATTGGCTTTGAAGAGCTAAGCTCTCTCTTTTGTTAGGTCTTCTCTTCAATGTTGTAGAATATATATATATATATATATTTGGATACATTAGGCAATTCTATTGTTTCTTGCTCCATTTTTAAATAAATAGTGTCAACTATAGAAGTCGGCATAAGAGGGTTATATTTTTAGTTCATAATTACCATACCACTACAGTCTACAAACTCTTTTAAGTTTCTTTGCTTGAATGTTGGTCTATATGGAAAACGTACCAAAATAATAGACATTTTTACTATTGTAAAAATACTAATGTCTCACCCTAGACACATGACGTCTCCAAGATATGTTTTGTCTCTTTGATTTGGACCTCCATTCATTTTCATTAGGTGACAAAATTCTAACCAAATTTATCATTCTTATATTGTTTAACGGTGGTAAATAGTATGAACCATGGGGATGGTAATCTCTTTGATGTTTTGAATGGATTTGCATTGTGTCTTACCAGCTTCCTGTACAGTCTGTTCCTGCTTAATTTACTCTCGAAAGAAAAATGTTGTACAGGTTGTTGCAGTTCCGATATACCCTTAGAAAAACGTATAGTAGAAATTAGATTGTTGTATTTTATACTCATTTTTCATCTATATATAAAAACTATAACTTTCACATTTTTCTTTATTCCAGGTTACACGAAGACATTTGATTCAGTCCCTGCTCTGAGGAAAGCAGTTATATTAGGCTACAACCCTATTAGACCTTGGATGTCTGTAGTTTACAGGTATGCCATTACAACTAATCGTGTTTCTTCGAAAATAGCCATATTTTATAATTTCTATGGCTTCTTGAAACAACTTCTTCATTTGTATGCCTATTTTGAATTTTGATTTAGGTGGCTCTATGATTTCAATTCTCGTGAGTACTTTTACGATGGTTTATCATATGGCACCCAACATACCCTTCAAAACTTCTGATGATATCTCCAATGAAATTAAACTACATTTTCAATTATCCTTTTCTTTGACATTTTGATGACAAACACCATAAAGTTTAACCGTCTGATTATGAAATGAAAGTATTCCATCGAGGTGCACAAGGTCATGGTCATGTATTATGTTAAGTCCTTTAACCTAGAAGATGAAAATAGATGAGTGTTTTCCTTTATCTCGATTAATGCCTCAACTTTCTGGACAACACCATCAATATAAACCCTAAAAAGATATCACCCTTGGTTCTCTCTTGATTTACCAGAGATAGTTCATCTGCTAAGTATGTTTTGGTAAAGCACAATAAAACCTTGCCCAAATATTCATCTCGCTTATAGCTCACTCAATTGTTGCATCAACAATTTGGATTGTATTTTTATCATATTTATGTGCTTTGCAGGTTCACTATAGAAACCAAGTTCGAGCTCTCTTTCTCCTATATAAAATAACCGCAATGAATCATTATTGTTGCAATATGTTTTGTTGTATATTCTATGCTAAGCTCCGTCCAACTGCTATGAATTCTTCCAAAGTAAGCAGAGTTATTGTCATTCCCTTATCTTGCTTTGTTATATATAGTAACATACAACAAGAGGCCTTTTCTGATTTTCACGTTTTAGTGTTGTTCATCTTCATTTCACCCGTAAAAGCAAGGTATAAAGGTTGAAATGAATTTCAAAATGATAAATCAGCAGTTCCCTACATAGTTGGATGGGGCACAAGAAAAGGAAATGTATACGAGGCAGAAACTTTTGTCATAATTGATGATGTTAGACTTTTGTAATTTTAAAATCAGATGCACATCTGAATAAAATATGGTCTTGATGTTTTGGGGATGCCATTAATGTAGCTGATTGTTAAGTGGATAAATTTCATGTAATGAGGAATTCTGAGAAATCATTTTCTTTTGTAATCAAGATTTTAACCTGATAATGTTGGTAGCATATATTTGTACTACACGTTATTGTGCTCTTATTAGCAAATTTCCTCCGGAATGTTATCTGTATAATCACTTGTGTAGTATTTATCAAAAAGAGACCGTCCTATTGCATGGTTGCAGTGATTCTTTAGGATTGCCGTTTTCCTTACTTTTTTAACAGGCTATGAGAGACAATTTCTTTTCAGCTTCTTCTTAGATATGCAAATGGCGTAATTTCTCCGGTTTATTGATTGTTTTGGCATAGAAGGATGATGAGATTGTTAGTATACAGATGTTGCTAGCTTTTACTCAGCAGTCAAAAGGACAGAAGTCTCCGCAAAATGTAACCGATCAACAGATTCTTCAAAGGTGGGACACCATTCCTGTCTTTGTGGTTGATCTGAATCATACTACATCCGGTAGAAAATGATTAAAACAGATTTCTTTTATGTTATTGTTATTGTTCTCTTGCAATTGAACAAAAAGTTAGATCTTCTCTCATCTCTAGATTTAAAAGTTAAAGTAGATGTTCCATTAAAAGAATATTCCTTTATAACACGCATCGAAAGATCAACAACAAGTGGTAACACTGAGTCTGCATACAAGTCATTCTTCACATTAGATCAATTGCCAAATTATAAAAATGTAACCTCACAAGGTACTATAAAGAGATAACAGGGAGGTGTATATTATCTTTTATGAGAAAAAGAAGCTTATAAGAGCATTAGTATACAAGCTTTATTGGTTTTTTTTCAACGAAAAGAAAACAGAGAGCAAAAGAGGGGATTTTTAATTATCCAAAAAAGGGAATGATGGGACCAAAGTCGGCAATAGCAGTTTTGAGTCTCACTATTAAATGCACTTTTACTGAACAAACAAAAACAATGCAACCATATAAAACTCTTCATTAATATATTACCCGTGTCAACACCGCTTTATTTTTTAAAAATCATATAACTAATTTGATTTACACTCCAAAATTCATAGGTGTCACATAATTTAGACATTAATTCTTCATTACTCAATATATGTAATTATATCAATGACATATAAATTGAAATAAAAAATTTACATATTATATTTGAAAATCACGTAATAGTACTATAAGGTATAATAGTTAACAACTTAACATATTTTAAAATTTTAGTTGACTC